TATATAAAGTGTCTGGATTGTAACAAGTTTGATATCATACCTAAACTTTGTCCACTATATCACTGACTGGAAAGCATGGCAAAAAGATTGCAGTAGTATTTTTTAAGGCCATTTGATAAAATGTCCAATTAAGAAAATTCTTCCGATAACATTGGATGGCTGCAGTCATATATAAATTTCACCTCAGTTTTCTACCTGAGCTTTGTTTAAGTAATGACGATGAATTATAGTCATGTGTATCAACATTTCATGCTTCATATCCTTAACTGCATGATTACTCTTTTAATTTTGCCACCATTAAAATCAGTAGATATGGCTTTATTTCCACAGTTAATCTTAAAATATCACCTTTTATATACAATAAACAATGACTTGTTACCACACACTGGCCGGTCTCCTTAGAATATGTAAGTAAATAAGGGCTTAAAGACCTTAAGCTAGTGTGTTATAATAATAACAACACTCTAGTTTATACAAGTTAAAACAAGTAACAATAGCTGATTACCATTTAAAGAAATCTACCATACAGATTATGGTTATGGATTGTAGTCATTAGAATAAATTATCCATAGCTGGCAATGTGGCAGGGACTTATTAGTTTGCATAAGAAAATTATTTTGACTGTCACGTCCAATTAACAAAAGATGTATAGTACAAAAACTAACATTGTTTACTGTAAAATTTACGCATTAATCCTTTGGTACATTCACGCATGAAAGTGTTAAGTTTCATTTCCAAGGATGTTTACACAACATTTGGATACTTGTAATAAATTACAGTCTGTTTTACAGAAAAGTAATTGAAATTTCTGAGAATATCTACTTTATATTTGCATGCAGACAAAACTGATTATTATGTATAGTTGACAGTATACTCTATCACTGTCTCTATGAAGACATAGCTGCAAAGACATGACTGTTGATTAAAACCATGACTGGCCAGGTGATTTATATTAGTTGACAATATGTTTTTATGTTGTACATGAAACCTGATTGTGCGAGACCAGTAAAAGATTCTAACATGCTTTAAACAGTGTCTAGATATTTACAGTAGGTCTTCATCTTGATATCACGAACCAGGTACCACTTTCACAAACATTCCTTAATTAAAGAAAATTAATAAAATAACAAGAAAAGTTTATATAGGAAAGCATTGCTGAAATTAAGGACAATTCCTTAATTTCTGGATCCCCATACCACTGCCAAAAAATATAACTACGCAATGGAAACTGTTTTTCCTGGCTTAACTGTAGCTTAGATAAATCATTTCTGAAAAGAAAACCATACCTTACAGGATAGTAAAGGTAAAATAAATAAATGTAACAAACACCAGTGTTTTGAATAAACAATTCAGCGGGGCTAGGCCGGGATTAAAAGACGTCGATATATACTGTCGCTCTTACAGACTGAGCTATCTAGCCAACAGAACTTCCCAAGTGTCCTCACCCAACAATATGTAGCTAGTTATACTGAGAATCAAATTAAGGGTCAAAGTCAAAGTCAAAAGTTTTATTTAGAGTCGGTACATGGTATAACAATACAACATAAGCTCTAAGGACTAACATACAGGACATACACATTGCATAATAAAACACTAAAAGTACTTTACTCATACATCACATTTCATTTTCAGCTAGGTTAGCACTATCATTTGTTAAAAGCACATGTACACAAGTAGCTGGTTAAAATAGCAGATATCAGTCTAAAAACATGGGGTGTAAAAGCATATTTAAAACCTTGTGTACTTGTATGAGAGTAATAAGTGAAAGGGGAGGTTACTGATACGAAAAACAAGAGTGCATTGGGACAGGGTTCCTTAAGAAATGTTCCTGTTTAACTGGCTTGACCAAGTGTTTCTACTCTTCTACATGCCCGTGTCGTAGCCACAGTTTTCATTGGTTAATCAAATTATATTATAATTACATGGGGTGTAAACATAAATGTATAGTCACAAATGTCTCCATGTTTCTGTTAGCCTAGGGGGTTGAGGAATGCTTTAATACATGTTCTGACTTTAATAGGGCATATATGTTTTATTAATCTGTTTTATTGTAAGTCACATGTCTGTTGCCATATCATTATGATATTGCAGCTTAAAGATTGACATCTGTATCTAGTGTCAATGGGCACATATTTTGCTGTGTTATTGGGTACTATTAAGTGTGTTAGACTGGAGAATAAATAGATGTCTTAAGAATGTTTTAGAATACATTAAGTAATATCTGAAGCCATTAATTAGAATGTACACAACATTAATATTAAGCCCAACTCAATTTCTCATGATGATGATTCATTAGGTAAAAATAAATGAACCCTTGTATGTGAAATTCAACAACATACATTGTATATGTGGAGTATCTCTTTTTGCAAAGTATCCTATAAGTAAATGAAAAACCGCTTTTGATTGAACACATACAGTGTAACAGTCAAAATGATAGTTTATTTTAGGGTTATCTGTAATAAGGGAAAGGTGAATTATTTTGAATTTATTTTGACATTGTGGAATAAATTTATTATCTGTTCTATTGTGAGTATAATGTAATGGGATATAAATTACTCAGATTATTGCATAAAATAAATATTATTCGCTTAAGAATAAATCATATCTCAAACCATGCATTCAAATATGCAAAACACATATGATGGTAAAGAAGATACAGGTATTCAATCAAATTACATGTAGTTTTGATGTAAAAATAGATAGCAGTTACTTTATTTCAGTGATGTAAAAATAGATAGCAGTTACTATATTTCAGTGATGTGTAGTAGCTTTTAGCCTGATGACATATCTAACAGTAGAGATATACATGATTAGGATGTGAATGTTTGGGCATACTGTATTATGCACTGTTGTTAAGTATTTAACAGGTAGATATAGATGTTGTTCTCTCATCCCTCTGTGTGTGTATAATAAAACTGTATAGGGCAATAAAGGTGTGTTATAAACGTCTGTCCTACACCCCATTTCATATTACAATAGATCAAAAATGATGTGATGTCATGAAATTAGGGAAATTCTGATGCCCCGATGCCGCCGACATGAAGAAATTGAAAACTAACACAATGTATTAGAAATATAATTCAGAAAGATGGTATTATTTTCCTGCACAGTTTGGTGAAAATGGATTATGTTGAATATTGAAGAGCAGCTTTTTTTTTTCTTCTTCTTTCAAAAAGCTCAGGAAAAAGACATATATTTTCAAAATGGTAGCTTGTCAAGATTCAAGATTTTATTTGTTCAAATCAGGGCAAAACCCCTGAGAAACTTTGGGTTATCCCCAATTTGAAAACCCTGAGGTAGAATTTCCTCATCCTGCACCTGTTTGAATAATAATTACCTGTACAAACAAGTCTAGGTAGAAATGATATCGTTCTACTTATGAAGTGTTGGAGCAGGACGTACAGTCGTTCAATGTTTTAGACAAAAACCATATAATTTGATATACATGTACTGTATTTCTATACTCGTAATTACTATTGCTGAGATCTGGTTCAAATCTGTCAACAATATATACTAATGCACTGTGTACATTATGTGTGGATGAGTACACTAAGGTGGAATTTTAACTTTTAAATGTGATCAATAGACAGAACTTCTACAGTATTGATATATGTATACATGTTGTATGTCAGTTTGGATATTAGTTACTCAGTATGTGGGGGCCAGGTACAGTACTTGGTGTGTAGCTAGCTATAGATAGGTAAGTGATGTATAACCAGGTGATTTGGGTTATACTGAGGTCATCGACACAGTAATCCTGATCACCTGTACATTAGTGAGGGCGTGACCGAGGTACAGATACAAGGGAGGGTGTTACCTATGTACAGATATATATATATGGCTGGCCCACTTTCCCAGATCTCTGCACATCATGCTATTGTTTTCTTATCTATCTACTGAAGACAAATATCGCTCTAGGCCAGTCCTTGTGTGCAGTCAAGGGGAAAGCAAAAACAAGTTTCTGTAACAGAGTAAATCTGGACTGTTACAAGCCCAGTAAAAGTGACCCAGCCCTTTCTGTGTTTATCTGGACTGTTACAAGTTTATTTATAACTTTATTTCCTGTTTATTCATTGCTGATCAGGATAGCATTTTTTTATTTACAGACTATGAGTAATGCATGTGTCTGATCATGTTGTCCATCAGTTGATTTATAGCTGGTATTTGTTAAAATGATTCAATTTGATACCACTACCAAAATGAAAACAGGAAACAGAAAACATTTATTAACATTTTAGGGGAAAAAAATCATTTTAGAAAATTACATAATTGTATTAATATTAAATTTCATTATTTTACATTTATTATGAAACAAAGGTAATAAGTACTCTGGAAGTGTGTAGAGGGTCTTAATATGGGAGGAAAGCAGGGAACACAGAGAAAACTCGCAGGATAGATATAACCACCCATTAATATATTACCAGCATGTTTACTTAAAGGCACAAGTTAAAATTTCTGGTTCTCTACAATATTGTTCAATATTGATCACCACTTTTCTGCATTGTTTGAGATGTCTGTATAAGATATCAGGAATCAAAAACTTAGGTCGGATGCTCACTGTCAATATGAAGATTGACAACTGTATTTCTGTGTTTGACATTATGACAGATTTCAAAATCATATTCAGAATAGATCTGTTGATATGAACATTTGTATTTCTGTATTTGATATTAAAATCTATAAACAGATTCAGAATAGATCTGTTGATGTGAACATTTGTATTTCTGTATTTGATATTAAAATCTATAAACAGATTCAGAAAAGATTTTCATCACAAAAATATGTAAGTATTGGACACCAGTGCTTATAATCACCTGTGTACATTAAATAAAAAATAAAAACCCAGGAAGACTGCCATTGTCAGATGAAAAAATCTATGAAGCAACTGAAGCAATGTCGTAGCAGTATTAAAATGTGTTAGTTTGTGAGACGAGACAGGACAGCTGATAGCACTGTAGCTTATTGTGCCACTGACGATATATTGATCTTTCTGTTTTCAGGGTCCTGTCTGGTGGAGGCGGGGGAGAGCTTCAAACAGCTGGCAGACCTCAAGTATTCCATGGAGGACACTGTTAAGCAGAACTTCCTGGAACCACTTGGCCTGCTGCAGACTAAAGATATCAAGGAAGTGAACGTTAGTTATCATGACTACCATTATCTATTTGATAAAGGCAGACAAGCTAAAATAAGTATGGTGTGCTTTCACTCTCACCTGCTGATTATTCATTTGATGAATTCTAATATATTCTTTCCAAAAAAAGTTTCATGTTAAATTAAAATACAATATTCTATATTATTGTGACTTGTTTAATTAATTGATTACTTAGTATTAAGTTAATTGATTACATACTTAAAAGTTAATTGGTCACTTAATGTATAGTTAATTGATAACATAGTATGAAATTAATTGATCAGTTACTGTATAGTTAACTGATTACTTAGTTAAAAAGTTAATTGGTTACAAAGTGTTAAGTTAATTGAATGCATATTGTAAAGTCAATTGATCACTTAGTGTATAGTTTATTGATTACATAGTGAAAAGTCAATTAATCACATAATATGAAGTTAATTGATTGCATAGTGAAAAGTTTCAATGAGCATCCTCTGTTACAGCACCACCGAAAGAAGCTGTCTGGACGGCGACTGGACTTTGACTGTAAGAGGAGGAAGAAGGATAAAGGTATTCTAGCTCCTTGTCACTGTATCAATAGAGTGTTGAGCCACGTTAGCATTGTTACATGTAGAATCGTGGACATGGTTCTACCGTTGCTGCTATCTGTAGTTATGTTGATTGTTATGGAGATTCACTGTTCAGTATAAGATTGCTATAGTATGTAGCATGCCTATAATCTCCGTGTGTTGATTTCACTTACGCACATGTGCATAGTCTTGATATGGCTGGCATTGTTGATGTTTGGAATGTTTGAACAGGTCATAATGATGTAAATATGTCATACGGTGACACCCTTAAATGACCATAGCTGTTAATAGGACGTTAAACAAAATAAAAACTAAACCCAATTGTGTGGAACAAAATCTTAGACCTGTATGTAGTGCATCATTGACTTACCAGAAGAATGTGTGTTGAACTATGAATGTTTTGGAATACACAACCAGGAAATGTTCAGGTTAAAAATCCTTGTCTTGTCTTGTGTATTTCATGTCACCAATGCTTAACGCACTGTGCCATGGCCCATCAAATCATGACATCTCGTGACCAACAAAGTACCGAATGATGATCAATGGGTTGCTTAAATATTAATCTGATGATCAACCAATAATCAAATGGTCACCATTATTAATGGGGCTTTCTCATTATTCAAAGACCACCAATGACCCATTAAACTATAACATGTCATGATTAATGAATTATTCGGTGATCACCAATGGTTATTAAGATTATAGTGTCACAATGATACACCGTAACATAACTCTATGGGGCTGTGTGTCTTTACTTATTATGACATATTTAAATGATATGACGACACGTAAAGATATCAATGGACGGACCATTAGCAACATTGGACGTGCATTAGCAATTAGTTGTCAGTTGTCCTTGGTGGATCACCTATCTGACCTCCATAATATGTGAGTTTGGAGGTGTTGCCCTAACCTATTGTGTTTTTCTCCCAACAGGAGGTTAGTACCATGGCACTGTCTGCACTGAGGTCATCTCCCCAGGTCGTGACCTCAGTTTCACTTAAGTATCACATTCCTTATCTGCATGTAGTCAGTATGGTCCTATCAGTGACAGAAGTAAGACTCTCTCCACAGTGTCACAGTCGTCCTCATCGGTGAGGCCAGAATTTCTTTTCATTTGGGAAAAATATTTTCATTACCCAAGTCAAAAGAAAATCAGTGCATTTAGGCTTTAGGAGTTAATAAAACTGTAATTAAATGCATGATATGTTTTTTATGAAGTTTTGAAAAAAGTTTTGATATTGACAAAGTTTATCATATATCCTACATTTAAAACGGGACATTTTTGTATGTGGTATTTCATGTTGGCAATGCTGCTGCAGCATGTATTCAATTTTTTGTCATTATATTTAAATGTGCCAACAGTTTTGTTAATCTTATATGCAAAAAATCACAAAACTATCTACACACTGAAAAGATCCGCTTATAATACCATAAAAGGAGAGTGTCAATTCTGAGTACGATTATGAGACTGAGGCCTGATTGACATGCATATCATTTAAGATCTGATTCTACAGTCAGACTGTAAGTTAGTTATAGTTACTTCAACATATTTTTTCTGAGCAATAGTAAGTCTTCGTGTTTACCTGATAAGAGTCATGGGGGGTGTACAGTATTATCTAAATAGAATGCTTCTGAAGGTTAAAGGTTTTTGTTTGGATCAGATTTCCCTCCAGTTTAAACAGGTTAGATACACACTAAGTAGAGTATGATATACAAAGTCAAGTTAAATTTACATTGTGTAAAATATATACAAGTTCCAGTTTGTTGAGGATCAGACAAGATACATCATCCTTTAAGTAGACTAGATACACAATTTTCAGTTGAGGGTTCATGCAGTTCACACAAGTTAGATGAATGTAACTTTTGTAGAATATATACACAATTTCATTTTGTTGAGGGTTTAGTTTGCACATGTCAGATATACATATTCCAGTTCATTGAAGGTTCAGTTTACACAAGTAAGTAAAATATTGCACAAGTTACAGTTCATTTAGGGTTCTGTTAAAATAATTAACTTTAATTAAGTATGATAAAGTACACAAGTTTCTGTTTGTATTGGGTTAATTTTTGGACGAGTTTGATAAGTACCGGTATTTATAACGTAGGCTATATGATATTGAGAAGATCCAGTGTCCGATTGGTTGTTTGGTGTAGATGCTAGACTAGAGATTTACATGTGTTGCTTCAGGTAGCAGGCTTGTGCCCATATGTCCTGTGTTGTTTTGTCTGTGCTTGCGTTACTTAACTGACAAACGTCAGAAGAGGGAACAACAACTTATGATTGTAAACTGTTCTGCTTGTCTGCTATGATGGACTCTTGATGTGTGTGTGTGTGTTTATACAATATAAATCCATCATTTTTCATTCCTTTGACATTTCAATGTTCCTTGTGTATTGTATCTGAATATTTGGCATTTAAATGTTATTAGAATAGATGTATAGTTTTTAAAATCTTTTTCATGGATTTTTGTTGGTGTTTGCCAATTTCCAAAAAAATGTTATACTGTGATTGTTGCCATTTGATACAGCAGGGAACATATATACTGTAAACAAACATTCTGTAGATATAACTTTTCACAGTTTGAATATAGTGTATTGACAAGCTGAAGAAGTTAAAGCAGGACTGATGATCAGATGCATCTTAATACATGTTTACAGAAAAACTTAATTCTCAATTACTCATAATGCCAGTGATTTGGTCAAAAGCTCAAGGGTTATACCAGAATATTTTGACTTTTGAAATTAGTTGCTTTTCGTTTTTGCTGTATTGAAAATTTCTGTGAACAACAAGTATTATCATCTGAATAACTGATACAATCAATCTTGCTTTGTAAGTTTTTTTAAAAATTCTTATCAAGTTTAGCAAGTGCTGTTTCACTCCAATTAGTATTTTGTTTTCATGTTTGTAGAGTTCACATTATTTCAGTAATACATGTATCCTTGGTGTTGTGTGTACACTACTAGAAGTTATATTGGCTGTATACAGCCCGGTGAAGGGAGACTACTCCTTATGCTTGCACTGGAAGGCTACTGACACTATGCCATTCAGACATGCTGTGCATTTATTTCTACATACGTACAAGTATACACATATGTAGGGTTTCTGTGGCATCTCCCCCTCCTCTTTATTCTACGTTAGACTTTTCCCGACCTATTTATTTTTGCCAATTAAGTCTACATTTTGTTAAAAAAAATATGTCAAGTTCATAAAATGCTACTTTAAAAAAAAATATTCTAAAATGTTTATCGAATCTTAAATTTTAGGTTTGCATATTACATTGTATTTCATTACTTACATTTCCATTTCCTGTTTTGATAAAAATTAGTTTAATACATAAACAATAATATAATAAAGAATGTTTGATCCTGGTAAAAACCAAAGAACAAGGAGAAATTGGCATTCAAACTTAAAGGAGTGGTAATACTATACCTACAGCAATTACATACTTTAGCAATCTGCTATCACTAGGTACCTTATTTAACAACAAAGTTATTAAGAAAATAAGAAAATAAAATAAAAACAAAAACATCTACTTTTAAGGTGAATATGCAGAGACTGTGCCTAAATGCAACAGTATAATTTACCATTTGTTAATTACCCCACTGCTCACCCTAAAGAATACAAAACATACTTCTTTATGTAAATTAAAAAACAATTCCCAACATTTGAAAGCATTCATTTCTATCCTTCAATTTTGTACAAGCTAATAATAAAAAAAATATTGTGATGCCTACGCTACTACCAAGGAAACAAAAGTAAATGTGTATCTTGATTATTGCAAAATACTTGAATGCTGCTATGATATAGCTGTGTGCGTGTTTGAGTACAAGCTACATAAAATGCAGCCATGTTTGGAGGTTTGTATTTGCACACTAACCCACTGTGTTCATGTCTCCCTTCTGACAGAGGCCGGAGCACAGAAGTCAGGTAACTTGTCCACTCATTCTTATACTTACAGCTAGCTTTGTCCTCAGTTTTATGGCTTGTGTGGTGGTAATCTTATGTACACTGGTCATAAGACCCTGTCAGATCTCACACTGCATCTCATGTTTTGTTTACGGTGGAAGTTTACTGAAAGGTTTTAACAGGGAAATGCATGGTTTATGACTATTGTACTGTGGTTGAGAGAAAGGTAAGAATATTGGTGACATATTTATGTCTAAAATTTTGAAGACGATGAAAGAAGAAATTTCAATTTTGCACCAAAAGAACTATATGAAGGTAATGACACTGATGAATGGCATGTATGGCGTGGTTCTATTTATGGGTAGTACAAACATGTAAAAACTATTGGGTGCATCTTTGGATATTATTGGTTGAGTTATCTTTAATCACATCAGTATGTGGGTGGTTTGTCATCAGTATGTGGGTGGTTTGTCATCAGTATGTGGGTGTTTTGTCATCAGTTTGTGGGTGGTTTGTCATCATAATATGGGTGGTTTAATTATCAGGATTCAGCTAATTTTATTCTGACATCATAAGACTGGTTTTCTATACCAACAGAGGTGACTACCTTAGCATTAATCATTCAACCTTTGGGATTAAAGGTCATACGTTTTTGCATCTTGATCGATAAAGCATGACAAGTGATGGAGTGTAGGTGTTTATAAACACATGTGCCCTGCATAGTTCAGTACCATATATTTTTACTCTGCATGAACAAGCATGTGTAACCAGAACGTCTGTGTCTAGATGTTGTGCATGTCGGCATTCCGCATGGAATCCTGCATTTTAAAGAGCTTCCATTCGTCACTGTTTTAGTATTGATGTATCATTTTGTATTTTGTCGAAATTTGTGGTTTTATTGAAGGTCTTCTGGTGACGTGATTTACCACCTTGTTATTTAATCATGTATTTTGACCATGTCTTTATAACAGATATATGATACTAGAGGTTAAAGCTGATTCATGAATATTTAAATACTGTGTAAATGTTGACTGATTAGTTATCACTTGAATAAAAACATGTAAGACCAGAGGATAAGGCCAATTATAATACGGTATTGGTAAAGCATGCTGATTGTTTACTTCCGCTGTTTATTAAAATATATCAACCCTCATGGTTGATGACCATCCTACAACTGCTGTATCAGACTTAGAGTAAGTACTAGGACTGGTGTTGGCTCCCATCTTCACAGAGAGGTCAAACATTTTACATCACAAATGTCATCAATCCATAAGATAGGCATGGGTAGCTCGGTGATAATACCAGATTTGTTAATTGGGCAAGAAACATATTTTTGTTAACAGTGTCATTTCGCAGACTTGAAACATTGATCTGAAACAGTATTACATCCAATTCCAATAAGCATTCATTTTGGTGAAAAACTACACGAAATCGGTATAACATTATGTACAAGGCACAATTTATGAAAACCTGTTGGTAAAATTAGGTTGTTTGTTATGCTTCTATGTATCTTATAGTAGCCCCAAAGCTTTCATATTGTTTTCAGTTTAATTCTAACCCTGTAGACAGTGCACAAAACCTTTAAATAACACTACTAGATTAAGTCTTATGTAATGCTACTAGATTTTATTGGCTTTTGAATTTGTTAGCCCTTTTGACCTATCCTGTGTTGATGGGCCATTAAGCATTGATAATAATAATAATAATAATAATTGGCTTTTGAGGCAGTTTCAAAAAAGAACCCTCTTTCTTCCTTAACCCCATTAATGGTTGCATTTTGAACTCTACTGTGTACTTTACAAAAGTTAATCATAAAATATCCCATACTGTTGTAAATCATCAACAATATTTCTGTAGAATGTCAACAATATAATTGTAACTGATAGATATTTAATCATCAGAGTGAAATATTTCAAACTGCTGTTTTTAGCCTGCTGCACAAGCAAGTAGATATTAGGGTTTACTACAGTAGCACAAAGTGCTACTACCTTCCAAAAGTTAGTGTCGAACCCTGAAGTGGATCTGCATATTTATTTTTAGGAGAAACTTAACTCTAGAGTCGTTCCTATTAGGATCAAAGAAATACCTGGGAAAATAAATTTCTTCTTTGTATGTTATGTAAAGGCAGCTTATATATATTATTTAAATAATGTATTCATCAATTAAGCACAAAAAATAATATGACAATAGAAAAGTTGCTTTTAGTTTAGCTATATAATATTTGTATGTACATTTACTCTGAAATAAATTCCTGACAAATTGAGCGTCTTCTTAGATGAAACTGACAATTGTTTTCAAATGAATACAGCCCTTTCTACACTCATTTGCTTAAGGGTTGTTACAGGAGACAAATATTGTTTGGCGTTGAATGTTCTTTCACCGGTACCTGTTGAACATCTTCAGGGTTAGTTAGGACCATTAACCCTTTCACCACTATGTAACTTTAGTAGACTCTACCATGCATTGATCTGGATGAGTCCATTATGGTCTGCAGTGGTGAAAAGGTTAATACTGAATTTATTACAACTGTTGACGTAATACGCTACAAAGACATAAAACAGTTGTGTTTTCATAAAACAAAGTAGAAAGGGAGAGATTTGTATTACCTGACCGGGTATGCGATATTTTATGAAATACTTTTACAAGAATACACATAAATCCTTTTACAACTCTTTTGTATCATCATGCAAAATCAGTAATTTTAAGTTTCAATAAAAGAGCATGGCTTGACTGTCATTTAATAAAGCTAATTACATCTCCACAGACGTGCCAGATATTTGAAAGACCTGTATTATAACCAGTATTTCTTTTATTGGTACTTAAAAATGTATCTTAATTCAGTAAAATTTAATATGAACAATATTTTTCAGGCTCTACTGTCACAGAGGAAGAGATTAGAGTGGCAGAAGAAAAGTTTGAAGAATCAAAAGAACTTACTGAAACAGCAATGTACAACTTGTTAGAAAATGATGTAAGTTATGATGTGTGTTGATTGAATTCCCTTACCTTTGTTCATTATTTGTGTTATTTAACTCCTTCACCCCTGAAATTTCATAATAATGAACTATTCCAACCATTGATCTGGAAGATTTCAAATGTGTCTCCAGGGGTGAGTGAGTTAAATATATGGTGTATATATATAACAAAGCGAAACAGTACCATATGTAGCAGGAAACTTTGTTGGCCGAAAACATTGATCTGCATCATCCTAAAATTAACTCATGTTACATTAACAAAGGTTAAACTTACAAATTTCAAATGCACAACCTTTTTCAACCAAAATAAGAAAAAAAAGTGGTGTAATAGCTTCAGAGTAACCCATACATGGCTAAGTAGAGGTTAGGCCATACATGCATACTTAAAATTTCAACAAATATAGCTGTAGAATGGTTCAACCCCAGTGTCTCCTTCACGTAGAGAAATAAAGAATTCCATAACTTGCATTAGTTCTAGATTTCTATAATACTCCAAAGTTAATTAAAAGTTGTGTTTTGTACAGTGTTGTACATATAACAACATGTTAGACAGACGCTTATTTTTGTGTTCAAAGGTGGAACAGATAGCACAGCTGCAGTCCTTTATTGAGGCAGAAGTTGATTATCACAGATCTGCGGTAGATGTTCTACAAAACCTGCTAACCACCTTGGATACAAAGTACGTACAGTAACCCTTCAGGGAGTTTGTAGTTCATAAAAATCTAGAGATCTGCATAGGTGACTGATACTGATATTAATTTTTGTAGAGGATTACACAGATCATGTTTTTTGAGGGGTTTGGGTGTGGGTGTGGGGGGGGGGGGGATAGATTACTTCAAGTATTTCATCAATTTGAAGGATGATTTTTACCTTCATTTTACCTTAAGGACTGAAATTCGTAACTTTATGTTTATATTTTGTCATCAAAAGTTAATTAGGCAGGCAACCCTGTAAAGGGAGATAACTTTTTTTTTTTTTTTTTTTTGTGCATGTTTGAAATCCATTGATTTATTCATGAACTTACAATTTGCCCACTTTTTAACTTCTCAATTTAATCATTTTCAAATGATTTTTCTTGAATTTTCGTGAAGACATTAGATACTTTTAATGTAAATTTTATAAACCCAGACAGTAAATACATGCTGCATATTTTCATCATTCTTGATATCTAAACATAGAATTTAAAAATTTATGATCCAAGTAACACCATACTATATACTAGTTATCTTGCTTTGTGGAAAACTTTTTTACCAGTACTTACAATCTCTATTGTTGTGCATATGATGTTTAATCCACAGACGTAACCATGCTATGTCACGACCAAAATCGGAACATGTACCCAAAAGAGCCTCTATCAGAAACAGGACGCCATCGCCAGCCAACTTCTATGAATCTACCAATGATTTTGACACTACGAGTTCTAACAGTTACAATTTCAACTCCTCCCCACAGTATGCACAAGGTAAATACAACCACACGTCCCCTGTATGTAATACAACACCTCCTCCCCAACAAAGGAAACATAACACTGCCCCAGGAGGTAAACACCCTCCTAGTAGTTGTTATTACACCACCTCCTGGAAAGCTGAATACTTCAGTACTGTGTTCAAATTTGGTTAAAGTTATAGAAAATGTTGAAGTATCTGCTGTTATTGCATCTTACCAGATTTACCAAGGAAGAATCTCAACTAATTGCTGTAGTCAGGTGAATGAAGAACAAAAAATATCCAACTTTGCTGTTTCTGAAATACAACAGTATGATCATATTAAACATTGTAGACTTTTCAGATGTGTCTGGGTCATTTTTCAGCTAAACCAAATTTTTTTGGAGCCACTAAAAGTGTCAAAGTGAACTCATAGTATTAAATTTCCTCTTTTTCTCAACTTGAAAATAAGATTAATTAACTTCTACATTTTCATGTCATTGAAATTGTTCTGGTCATATGTAATGACCTTTAATTTAACTAAACCTCCAGTAAAAAAAATATGTTAAAATAGTCACGGAATATTAGCATGAAGTAATCGTAATTTCAACATTTGTAAAATTGTTTATCTGTTCTAGCTGAGAAGAAGCAGCCTTGTTGTGAAGCAATATATGATTTTGAGCCTGAAAATGAAGGTGAACTTGGCTTCGCGGAGGGTGACATCATCAACCTGGTGTCTCAGATTGACGAGAACTGGTATGAGGGCTCAATCCACGGAACCACTGGCTTTTTCCCCGTCAACTATGTCCGTATAGTAGTGGACCTGCCCCACTGAGGCCTCTCCATCGTCTACTACCTGTGTTATGGAACTGGCTGGGACTACAAGTTAACAGAATAATATTGTTTATGGCATGCATATGTAGAGTGATTAGGGGGTTCGTCTGTTGTTGAGACAGCTGCTCAGACAAGGTGTAACAGGGACACTGATAACCCCGCTCAGATACAGGTCACAGACAACAATCTCTCATAGAACTTACAGTCACACTCTTTACATGGATTTCTGGAAACTCCAATACTCATCTATACCATTGATCAATAAAATTAACAATATGTGTCAAAGGGTTCTGTTGGTGAATTTCAGATATGTGGTATGAACATCTAGAAGATAAGTACATGTATAATGGGTAAGGAAACTTTTAAACAAGACATATTTTTGATTGAGTTTACTAGGGTTAGGTAAGTTTTCTATCGAGTTTACTCGGGGTAAGGTAAGACATATTTTTGATTGAGTTTACTCGGGTTAGGTAAGACATATATTTTATTGAGTTTACTAGGGGCTAAGTATAGATACTGAATATATTATACAGTAGTTCTTGTCCAGTCTGACCATGCTATATATATCTGGGACCTTGATATAGCTCTGTGTATTCGGGAAAGAAAGATGAATGTTATTAACAAACCAAAGGACATTCTATATATTTATCAATTATTTAAGAAAAAAGAGTAATTAATATAATAAAGAAACTTTGTATATATTTATGCCAAATTCTAGAAAGTTTAACCATTCAATATAAAGGAACAACAAATACAGATGATGGAAGAAAATACTATTTGATAGCTGAACAGTGTGATACACAAGTTTAGATATGGAGACCATGTAACCCTGCCAAGACCAAACTGAGTACGAGGAGGAGACTTGTAGGTTTGTTGTTACATCTGTTGTTAAGTTTGATAGACTTCCTGTCAGAGAGGTTTTACCGACTTCCTGTCAGAGAGGTTTTACCGACTTCCTGTCAGAGAGGTTTTACCGACTTCCTGTCAGAGAAGTTTTACCGACTTCCTGTTAGATAGGTTTTACCGACTTTCTGTCAGAGAAGTGTATTCCATGTTGAGGGACTGTGTTATGTTTATGTTAATATGATGTTTGAGAGTGAACCATCTCTAAGAACATGTCATTAGTAGTTAGTTATAGCACAGGAAATTTACTGTCTGCAATTTTACAGAATGAAATCCAACAGTTTATGGTTCGTGATTTTCCACTTGGAAGTAAAAGGTAGATTTATTGTGTATAGAGAGAAATGATGGATCAAGCAGTTGTGATCCCCAGATTAATCTTCAGTCTACTAGTGTGTGTACAAGAAAATTCAAAAAGTAGCTAGCTGTGGAGATGTCCCCAGATATCTGAAGTATATGGTGCTAAGATTTTAGGATATCTCAGATATCCAGAACATGTCTTGTGTACATGTCCAGATGAAAAAAAAATAACATTACATACCATTACTGCATTTTTCATCTACAAATCTACATGTTTTATATTTGGAAGGTGTTCACTGATGTTGACACAGGTATACAAACATTTACATATCCAGTACAGAGGAAATCATGTTGTGAAGATTTCTGTCAACATCAATATGACTAGGTATCTGGGAGACATCTCAAAGTGTATACGATACCATTTATTTCTCCACATAAAATGGCCAAAGTTGTCAGAGCAGAGTAGAATCAACAATGCTAGGTGGGGTTTTCTCAAATCTTGAAAATCTATTTATCTATTCAGTAACACAAGCTAAACGTTCACTTTGCTCGGATAACCTTGGTCGAAAAATCTTTACATAAGATTTATCATGTTGTGATGTTAACTTATTAAAGTTTGCTTTACAGAGTTTCCTTGTATCATAAGTATGGTAGCTTGGAATATAAACACTTGCTTTAACTTGAGATAAAGCTGCCTTCCAACCCTATGTGTTTCTATAGGTCATATTTTTTTCATGACAGTTTGAATATTTGGTGATCATGTCATAGAGATGATAATGTTACAGTATCTTATTACATTTTTTTTACAAAACAATTAAAATTGTTCCATGCTGGTGTATTTGAATGTCAATTCTATCAATCTTGTACTTTTTTCTGTACATGAAATATCGTTTAGAATAATCTTAATCAAGACTTCTTGTATTAAAAAAAAATGTTTAGTAAAACAAAATATGGACATTAGTATAATGTTATTACTTATAATAATCTTATTAGCATAGGATTGTACCAAGAATTTTTAACATTCTGTAATAGTTTTATTCAGTATTTGAGCTTTAAAAGTTAAACTTGCCAGATAAGTGTTTTTCCTTGACGATTTTGATAGTGTAGGTTTAATATAGATCTAGATTTTGTCTAAGAGTACCGGTGTACATTAATAAACTTGCTTCATTTTAATAGTAGAAATAGATAGCGGGATTAAGCTGTAAATGCCCAAGTGTCAAATATATCCATGAAAGTGTTGACAAAGATCATGAAATGATTTATTGGAAATCAAAATTATATATGTACAAGTAGTCTCAAATTAATTCTAAAAACTGAAGTGAACTAGCTAAGGTCTGCCTGCTTTTTAATGATAAAATGAAAATTGTAAACCAATCTTGTCTCCACATGTAAAATGAAAATTGTAAACCAAAAATTTGCAATCTTGTCTCCACATGATGCAGATATTTTGTTGATAGATCTGAATGCTGTAAAACATTATATTTCTGTGTTTAATTTTCGTTCCCAAACTGTGTCTGCTTTACTCACAAAAACTTGAATTTGTGAGTGAGAGGATACTATTTCATTATTGATAGTACACATAATTATTTCTTGATATTTTTTTTAGGAAAAATTATAATTTGCAAATGGTCCTTGTAATTTAACATGAAAATTACTATCACAAAAATAAATTGGTTAACAGTGTGTGGCATGCTTCAATATAAAAGTTATTGCTGTTTTGTATTCCTAAAACGAATGTTATATACAGACCTGACAAGGCGAGTCTAGATAATAGATTTGTCCATTGTATGCAGTTGTCTGCTTGCTATGCATTTAGGGTGACTACATGTCATCAGTCTTTGTCTCAATATGGCTACTGATGTATAACGATACCCCGCTACACAAAGTGAGGTTTAATCATGTGTCTGGTAGCCATGTATTCTCTGAAGACAATGGACGTTAGTGATTTGCTCAAAAATTAGCTATTTAATGGTTCATTCCAATTTTAATTTTGTTCTTTTGACATTTCACCGATTCAGAAGTGTTTTTATCTTGTGCAATTGAACCTTGCTATGTTATTTTCATATATTTTTATCATTGAAGACAGCATCAATCACGTATATATCAATTAACATAGATCTAGTATATACTATAGACTTGTTCATGGGTGATAAGAAATGAGATGTATTTGGTTTCATATTTTCTTCGATTTGTAGATAAAGATATTCATGTACAGCCATATAGATTGTGCATTATACCACAGTATGTATGTGTATATATGTATTATGATGTTACGTTGTAATATAATAAATTCACAGAAATTTCTTGTTAGTTTCCGGTCATTTGTTTTGTTTTACTATCCAAACCAGGCTACTAAGTGCCAATACAAAAGGGTGAACATCTATCCAAAAGTTGTTCTTGCATTGTTTTAATTGTACACATGAAAATCATACCATGGTCACCTTCTAGCTTCGCACTTAAAAAAAGATCCCTTTAGCTCAATCAATAGATTGGTGGACTGGGAAGCTTGAGTTGACCGGTTCGAAATTCAGTGGAAGCACACTATTAATTTTTCTGTTTCTATATGTTTCTATAATGAGAGGAATTAGTTTTGTTAAAGTGTCCAACAGATATTTATGCAGTCATTCATCATACTAATGAAGTTGTTGTACTTTACACCTACACTACTGCTTTACATACTACTTGTGAACTAGTCATCACTTACCCCATCCTTTGATTTGCTTAACATTGTTGAGTTACACAATTTGGCTTTATAAATTAAAACTAGAGATTTCTTTTTGTGTCTCTCCTTGTCAGAAAATGGCGGATGATGATTAAGTTTCATTCTAAAGATAATTCGAATAATATAAAGATATTGCCTGGACGAATCTTTAATAAAGATAATTATTTGGTGACATTTGACCTACTGTTGAAGGTCACAGTGACCTAATTACAGGGCATTTTACACCTTCTATTGATGGTCATGGTCGAAAATGTAAAGCATGGAAAAGGTTATGCTTACATTTATGCACTTGATGGTCATTTGATCTTTGACTAGAGAATAAAGTTTACAGAGACATGGTTAGGGTACACTTCACACCTTTCGTCGGTGATGTAAGTTTACTTCAAGTTTGAAGTGACAGAAATGTCCGACCCTCGGGATGATATTCTTGATTATCTCTAGTCTGAGGCTTTCACTGCAAAGCCTCCGGTAAGACAATCAAGAATATCATCCCGAGGGTTGGACATTTCTCTGTCACACCCTCAAGGTAGGGGATAATTGTTTTTCTCCCATCCTGTTTCACTCGCAAAATCCACTGACAAGCGTTGATTGCATGAAACATGAGCGTTATTGCAAGTTTTCACAGCAAATCCAGAGTTGTCTTTCATAGTCAGCTACTGTTGACATGACGTCATACTATTGTTATTACTTGGATCATGCCATTCTGCACGAGAATATCTCCCCCTAGAGGGTGACGAGCTGATCTTTTCTTACTTAAAAGGGAGACACACCTGTGAAGGGTTTGAGAAACATGTTTTATGTGTACCAGAAGGAGCCTACAGTCACAGGCTTGTCATTGAAACATCACCGTTATCTGAAGTAGACTCGACTTTTACCACTGACTGGTTTGTTATAATAATAATGCTAGTACTGTTACCACTTATCACAGCTTGTCCTTGAAACATCTTTAGTACACACCATCATTATCAATGATCACAGCATGTCATCAAAGCCATCTTCAGTATGCACTACTGACTGTCACCACTGATTGCAGTTGATCATAAAAACGATCTTAAATACACTAGCCTTACCGTTCATCAAGGGTTGTCATCTAAGTTATTTTGAGTACACAGTATCATTATACATCAGAGCTATCTCGGGTACAGTCTAATGCTATTGCTGATCATAGCTCGTCATCAATAGACATCTTAGTACACCATTGCTATAACAGATTGCTGCTTGTCAACAAAGACATCTTAGTACACTATTGCTATAACAGATTGCTGCTTGTCAACAAAGACATCTTAGTACACTATTGCTATAACTGATTACTGCTTGTCAACAATAGACATCTTATTCTCTTACCCTGGACTGTTGTATCCGCATTTTTACCGGTGCTAGATTTATTTGTCTCCGCCCTAGGGTTGAGACGGGGGGATTCCCCTATTCCTAACAATGGCATGACGTCACTTAAACAAATACAATGACGACCCGTCAACAATCCATCAACGTCACGTCAACCCTGAAATTAGCGTGTAACGTTATCATTACATTGTGCATATGATACACAATGAAAGAACAGGGAAAGAGAAAAAGAATCATTCACCCCCTTATGGGTGAGATAGTGGAATCTCAACCCTCGGGGAAAGATTCTTTAGTTGCCAAACACTTGGCAAAGCCTCGTGTTTGGCAACTTAAGAATCCTCCCCTCCGGGTTGAGATTCTCCTATCTCACCCCCAAGGGGGTGAAAGATTCTATTAGTACACTATTGCTATACCAGATTACTGCTTGTCATCAATAGACATCTTAGTACACTATTGCTATAACTGATTGCTGCCTGTCATCAATAAACATCTTAGTACACTATTGCTATAACTGATTGCTGCTTGTCATCAATAGACATCTTAGTACACTATTGCTATAACAGATTACTGCTTGTCATCAATAGACATCTTAGTACACTATTGCTATACCAGATTACTGCTTGTCATCAATAGACATCTTAGTACAATATTGGTATAACTGATTGCTGCTTGTCAACAAAGACATCTTAGTATACTATTGCTATAACTGCTTGCTGCTTATCATCAATAGACATCTTAGTACACTATTGCTATAACAGATTACTGCTTGTCATCAATAGACATCTTAGTATACTATTGCTATAACTGATTGCTGCTTGTCAACAAAGACATCTTAGTATACTATTGCTATAACAGATTACTGCTTGTCATCAATAGACATCTTAGTATACTATTGCTATAACTGATTGCTGCTTGTCAACAAAGACATCTTAGTATACTATTGCTATAACAGATTACTGCTTGTCATCAATAGACATCTTAGTATACTATTGCTATAACTGATTGCTGCTTGTCAACAAAGACATCTTAGTATACTATTGCTATAACAGATTACTGCTTGTCATCAATAGACATCTTAGTATACTATTGCTATAACTGATTGCTGCTTGTCAACAAAGACATCTTAGTATACTATTGCTATAACAGATTACTGCTTGTCATCAATAGACATCTTAGTATACTATTGCTATAACTGATTGCTGCTTGTCAACAAAGACATCTTAGTATACTATTGCTATAACAGATTACTGCTTGTCATCAATAGACATCTTAGTATACTATTGCTATAACTGATTGCTGCTTGTCAACAAAGACATCTTAGTATACTATTGCTATAACAGATTACTGCTTGTCATCAATAGACATCTTAGTATACTATTGCTATAACTGATTGCTGCTTGTCAACAAAGACATCTTAGTATACTATTGCTATAACAGATTACTGCTTGTCATCAATAGACATCTTAGTATACTATTGCTATAACTGATTGCTGCTTGTCAACAAAGACATCTTAGTATACTATTGCTATAACTGACTGCTGCTTGTCAACAAAGACATCTTAGTACACTATTGCTATTACTGACTGCTGCTTGTCAACAAAGACATCTTAGTACACTATTGCTATAACAGATTACTGCTTGTCATTAAAGCAATCTTTTATATTGCTATAACTTATAGTTGCTTGTCGTCAAAGCCATCTTAGTACACTATTGTTGTAAATTATTGCTGCTTGTCGCCAAAGTCATCTAAGGAATACTATTATCATAACTGATCACTATCTTAATAACTATGTCATCAGAACATTTGATACAATTAAGAGACCACTGAAGGTAAGGCTAAAAGGTTTTCTATCAGCAGAGATGGTGTCTTTGTGTTGATGAGAAATTGGCAGCCTCCACAGCAGAGAATCACTTAGAAATAGGAGTACATGTGGTCTCGGAAGCAGATTTGATTGTCCATATAGCTGTAGGTTGTGACAAAACGATATATTACAGCCAGTTTTCAACCATAAATTGAGGACATTCCTCAACCCTTTTTTCTCGTGGACAAATAATTCTTTTTTGAAGAACTTCTTAGTAGTATCTAATTATAGGTGTTGATCATTAAACTTTTGAATAGGTTTTACAAATCAAGCCCTTATATCAGTGTCAATGTATGCTATAGCCAGTTCTTAGTTTTGTAAAGTTACTCATTAAAATTGTTAACTAGGATTGTTTTATTAAACTCAAAATCTTATTGTGAATATTTATTTTCCATCTTCAAATGATGATTTTTAATATGTACAGAAAGTGACTTAAACATTTACAAAATTTGTATAAATGATGATTTTTTGATATGTACAGAAAGTGACTTAAACATTAACAAAATCTGTATAAATGATGATTTTTGTGTTATCTATAAAAGCTATAGGTCTTTCTAATTAAAAATAACACAAGATCAATATTGGTTAAGACAATTTTAATTGCAGATGGATGTTAATATTTTTTGTAAATATATCAGCAAGAAAACATCAATTTCATTCATCTTCTTGCTTGTAACCCAATATAATCATGCTCAGTCATATGAATGTCAATTTTTGTGACATATACATAACAAGAGTCCCCTAGGGCCTGCATCCCTCACCTGCTTCTTTTAATTTATTATACAATATTGATTTCCCTTTCTAGGGCACTCCAGACCAATTCAGATTGAAATCCCCCTGTAAAAAGCAGGCACTAAAATGTTATTTCCCCTAAGGATGCTTTAAACTGAATTAGGGTAAATTCACTATTTCCATAGATGAAATAAAAAAACCATTTACCTCATTTCCAATGTTGGGCCTGCCTATCTACCCCAGTTTGACCACACACTTCGTTCATAAACACTGTACTGATGAGTCCCCTTAGCCCATGGATGTTCAATACCAAATTAGGTTAAAATCCTGAGCTTTAGAAGAAAAAGCCTTTAGAAGGAGGGTGGGTATAACTTTCATTTAAACAAGGTTGAGTACGATTCTCTTGGCCAAAGGATGATTCAGCTAGAAATTGATCTGATGGTTATGACAATTTTGCAAAAAGTCTCAGCCAATCAGAGGACTGGGACATTACTTTTAGACTTTTTGAACTGACCTAAAGAACAACAATACCTGTTCAGGACCACAAGAGCATTATTCAGATCAAGTTTGGTTATGATAAACCCGGTGGGAGGTGAGAATGTGAAAAGGCCAATCAGAGAACAAGAGGCCATCTTTGATTGTGAATTGGTACGAAAATTAAAATCACTTGATCTGGGCTATGTGACGAAACCTTATATACCAGTAGTTTTGTAAAAATTGTCCAGATAGAAAATTACAAGTAGAGCATGTTTCAGCCAATCAGAGGCTAAGGCAGATATTTTTGCATTTCAAATCCATTCAAAAAATAAATGGTCACGATAACATTTACTGACATTATTAGACTTAAAAGAATTTGAAATGTTTACATCCCATTCCCCAAAATTAGCCCCATCCAACTCCTTCTCAACTTGCATTTATCCAACAAAAAATCCCCTTCATCCATGGTTTCTTCACGCTAAATAACATGCTTTATAAGATTAAAAGATAACTCGCATTTCCCCTTTGGACATCTCCCGACATTTTTTTTTTTTAAAAGTCCTTTAAAAGTTTTAAGATTAATCCTGATTCTTCCTTTTAGGCCCGACCACAAGAGTGACACCCTTCATGTATACAGTGTTGAATTTCCTTGGCCCAGAGACTGCCGAATTCAGTCAAAATAATCAATTACTCTAGACTAACAGTCTTTTACAGGAAAGGTGAGGACTGATGCTGCGCCACAGCGTAAGCTAAACTGACCTATCGGGCCATGTGATTTAATAAATAATAATAAAAAAAACCAGCTGGTCACAATAACAAATGAGGGACGTGTAACCGTGGTAACAACCTATCATACAAGTATGTGTCAGACAGGCATTTTCAGATTTTCACACATTTTCATTTGTAAATATTTCCGCACTTTATATTTTGTAAATCAGTTACATTCGTTTATTAACTCATTCACCCCTGAAGACACATTTGAACTCTTCCAGTTCAAAGATTGGAATAGTACATTATGAAATTTCAGAGGTGAATGAGTGAAAATTCATTTTTGAGATAAAGCATTAAAGGCCTCGTCTTTTAAATGAATAAATAAAAAAATAAAAAAAAATGATTTACTATTATAAATACGTCTACAGCATTAAAACATATTTCCAACACATACTTAACATAGATATCCGAATAGAAACAATTTATTGAGGAGTGACAGCTATTAAAATAATACATAGTGAAATAGACAGGATAAAAAGGGAAGATATACCACACATATAACAGCAGCCTAGATAAAAACGTGTACAACATCTCACCAACACTGGGACTGACCCACAGCAACCCATTCACTCTACAATTATTGTATTGGTCTTTCAGTTTAAATCACACATTTAATACTGCAACCATAGCAACTGACAGATTTATAAAACCAATATCACACATAATGCTTGCAAGTCCACAAACACACAAATGCCATTGTGTTTCTTTTTTTTTATTTACGAAACATTCATCGTTCACTCATGTCCTGCTCATATATCACACACAAATATCCACACAACTGAATCCCAGACTCAACTTCATGCACATATTCACAGGAAACAGGTACATGACAGGGATATGCTACACTGCCCTGGCAGAGTGTTATTAACTATTCAAATATAATTTCCAAAGTAGATATTCTGTGTATATTTAAATTTCAGACCAGTCAAAAATCCATTATATTTCCTATTTTTTGCCACATATCACTGCAGCACAAGGATATCGACAAAAGGGAGTCCATATCTGCAGATAGCTGCAAACTTTGTATTATGTCAATACATTAAATCCACAGGTGAAGCATGGTCAGGACTCCTACTGAACATGTTGGAAGTGATCAGAGACGTCCATAACCAGCTTTCTGCTTGTCCCAACATGTCTCTATCACATTTTAAAATCTAAACAAGGTCACAACTTAAACATCATCATCAGCTACAGAGTCTGGGTCTTGGCCTCCAGAGGCCGAGTCGGGTGTGAGGTTACCAGATTCCATTAAGTCTACTGGGTTGGGGTAGTCATCCTTCAAGGACGAGTCGATACCATTTAAATCCTTTCTACATACTGGACAGGTTCCATGCTGAAACAGGAATCACTCACTTTAAAATTTCTTCAAAATACTTTGAGTTTGGCCTTTTTTCAATAGATCAATCAGAATAAACGATTAATGATTCCCATATAAAACAGTGTTACAGATGTTTTGCTTTTGTATTGTATATCCCATCAATAATTTAAGTCATTTAGGGCAAAGTTTTACAGATCTAGAATAGTGGATCATTTACATGTAACATAGGAGATAGCATGCAGACATTTTTAACCAGTAAGAACTGCTGGGGATGAAAGTTCTGCCACTTACCATTTCTAGCCAGGGTACAATACAGTCCTTATGGTAATGATGCTCACATGGTAGCTTCTTAACAATTTCATTTAAACTTAAATCTTCCATACAAATAGAACACTGCAGAGTCTCAGCTGTGAAATAAAAATAAAATAATATTAACTGTTTGGGAAAAATATTATTTCAGATAAGTATTTTAGTTAATAGGACATCAATGAATCCCGTGTAAAGACTGATACATTCTGAAGTGTCTTTCACAGCACAGACAAATACATCAATGAAGTCAGGGATGACCCTCTGTAAATTTGGATCTTGCCAAACAATGGAACTTGCCAAACAATGGATCTTGCCAAACAATGCATCTTTATGGCCTTAAAATAGAGACCTAGAATACCAGACAAGGCTTTGCAGACTCTAGCTTACTATTCATGTGTTTTTCAGGGCTAAGGAAAGCATCTTCAATTTCAAATTTTAACAGAGCACTACACTCGAGTGTACAATATTGTACCAAAGTAGATCTACATTTTCAAATAAGACAAATTAAATATTTTCCACAAAAACCACCAGTTTGTACAATTTATATTTCTTTTTAACACAATTGCCATAATAACTGAGGTACAATATATTGAATTTATAGAAGTGTACAGGTAGGTTACATAATGTAGTTCTAATACTTACTTGCTTGCTTCTCAGTGACCTGTACTGAAGGTAATGAATCTATCTTTGTCTTGTCAGCAGGGGCAGGACCTGACCCTTCAAGCTGGTTCAACAGCTGTAAAGGAATCACATCATTAACAGAAACAAACAACAATGCAAAGGATTAACAACATCTTTAACTTAACATTTTTCTTAAATTGCTTCATTAAGAAATAACCAGAGGCCCCTCAGCCTGTATCGCTCATCGGTTTCTTTTGATATCGGAACTAAACGCGAAGCTGTGTTTTATTCACACTGACACTGGCTTGCGATTAGGGTGGCCATCTGAAGTTTCTTACTGACCCAAAGAATCAAATAACCACGTAGCAAGAGAAATAACAGAAACGTATGTACTGTGTTTGGTTCAATTTATCAGGTAGAATTAAGAATTAGTCAGAAATTTCTAGGCCAAGTTAGCTAAATGTTAAAAGCTGAAATAAATGTTGCCTAAATGAAATAAAACTTTGCGCCTGAAATCGAATTTATCTTCTGCAGAGCTCATCTCTTACATTTGAACACATTAAATTACCATTTCCTAAACATGTGTGCCTATCAGGAATTATTTTGTGCTGGATACAAATTTGAACAAGAGGCCCAGAGGGCCTGTATCGCTCACCTGTTTCTTTTGTTACATGCAACTGACATATAGGTAACTTAAGACCAAATTTGGTAACTAGAAAACAAGGCATTTTAACATCTCTTAAACGGTTCTGAAGATATTGTTGTTTGAAACTTGAAGTTTTAATGTTAAAGCTTTTAACTCATATTGACCTTTGACTCCCGACTTGCACTTAAAGTTGACCTTTGACCTTATTACTGTAATAAAGAAAACAATTCACACAGCTGGTCTACATAACATACCCAAGTATCATGACTCTAGTCCAAATGGTTCTTAGGATATTGTTGTTTGAAGTTTTTAACATAATTGACACCAGTGACCTTGGAAGTAGGTCAAGGTCATTTTAATGAGGAAAATATATAACACTTCATCCCAGGTACTTACTGGCCAAATATCATGACCCTGAGCCTTATGGAAATTGAAAAGAAGATTGTTAAAGCCTTTGACTCATGTTGACCTTTGACCCCAACTTGCACTTAAAGTTGACCTTTGACCTCATTACTGTATAATAAAGAAAACAATTTGCACTGCTTGTCTACATAACATACCCAAGTATCATGACTTCAGTTCAAATGGTTCTTAGGATATTGTTGTTTGAAGTTTTTAACTTATTTAACCGCTGTGACCTTGAAAGTAGGTCAAGGTCATTGTAATGAGGAAACTTTATAGCACTCCATCGTAGGTACCTACTGGCCAAATATCATGACCCTGGGCCTNTGTTGAGAAAAAGATTTGCACTGATGGTCTACATAACATACCCAAGTATCATGACACTAGTCCAAATGGTTCTTAGGATATTGTTGTTTGAAGTTTTTAACATATTTAACCGCTGTGACCTTGAAAGTAGGTCAAGGTCATTGTAATGAGGAAACTTAATAGCACTCCATCGTAAGTACCTACTGGCCAAATATCATGACCCTGGGCCTAATGGAACTTGAGAAGAAGATTGTTAAAGATTTTAACCAAAGTTGACATTTGAACCCCCCACTAGCATTTCAAGTTGACATTTGACCTCATAACTGTAACTGAGAAAAATATTCGCACTGCTGGTCTTCATAACATACCCAGGTATCATGACTCAAGTCCAAATGGTTCTTAGGATATTGTTGTTTGAAGTTTTTAACTTATTTAACCGCTGTGACCTTGAAAGTAGGTCAAGGTCATTGTAATGAGGAAACTTTATAGCACTCCATCGTAGGTACCTACTGGCCAAATATCATGACCCTGGGCCTTATGGAAATTGAAAAGAAGATTGTTAAAGCCTTTGACTCATGTTGACCTTTGACCCCAACTTGCACTTAAAGTTGACCTTTGACCTCATTACTGTATAATAAAGAAAACAATTTGCACTGCTTGTCTACATAACATACCCAAGTATCATGACTTCAGTTCAAATGGTTCTTAGGATATTGTTGTTTGAGGTTTTTAACTTATTTAACCGCTGTGACCTTGAAAGTAGGTCAAGGTCATTGTAATGAGGAAACTTTATAGCACTCCATCGTAGGTACCTACTGGCCAAATATCATGACCCTGGGCCTAATGGAACTTGAGAAGAAGATTGTTAAAGATTTTAACCAAAGTTGACATTTGAACCCCCCACTAGCATTTCAAGTTGACATTTGACCTCATAACTGTAACTGAGAAAAATATTCGCACTGCTGGTCTTCATAACATACCCAAGTATCATGACTCTAGTTCAAATGGATTTTAGGATATTTTTGTTTGAAATTTTTCACATATTTGACCACTGTGACCTTGAAAGTAGGTCAAGGTCATTTTAATGAATCTTATATAGTACATTGTATTGTTCATTAACTCATTATAAATGTAATCAAATTGAATTTTCTGGATCAAGTCAAAATTATGAAAAACCTACAAGACAAATAGACATTGCATCATGGCACGGGTCTTTGTAATTATGATTACAATAAGGCCAAACAAAAAACATGTTTGTTTCCTGTTACATGTCTGAAAAAATTAGATTAGATATATGTAGGAATACATAATATTTGTTTATTTTATGGAATATGCCGGAAAGTGATCTGTACTTAAACAGTGCTTCCTTGAAAATTTCCAAACAATTTAGGGCAGGCACAAAATATAAGGGTAGGTAGGGTAATTGGAACACACATCTTTTATTTGGCCTAAGGAAAACTATAATGAACAAAACTTACCTGAGTAATAATGTTATCTAGTCCACTGACGCCCCAGGCGTAGTCACCTGGGTTACCGTGGATCGGCATGAAGTTTCTGATAAATTGGCAAGACAAGACAAGACTCTCACACTACAGTGGCATATACATGCATTTCAACCCTATCTATCTATATGTTATACTCCACATCGACCATAATGGCTTTAACGTGGACCTGATGTGTACTCAGGGGATACATTTATATGGAGTTCCACAGGATACTTTTGCAAATACCTACGCCTACATAGATACGGTGTGTTCTCCTTTCTCTCACTTTAAAATAACCCATAGAGGAAGTTATGTTGTGATAGCAGTTATAGTTGGTTTCATATGTATTTTACCTGGTTTTTACCGGTGTTCTCCCACATTATCTGTATCATGTATACATTACTGTCATATACATGTAGCTTTGATATAGTCTATTTTCATCATTTTTAGACATTTTGTTCATATCATATACCATTTTCATCAGCTAGATCTATACAAAACAGTAACGTGAAATCCACAAATATTTTATATATTTTATATTCTTAATAGTAAATATAGATGATAATGCTTTGATTAATTTAAAAATCAAATTAAATTTAAATTGATTTAATTTAGGGTGAAGCAAATTCATATTGGAGCATTATTTCCAGAGAATCTTTTTTACCAATAAATGCGTCTTCAGTGTAATTATTAATAACTTAAATTATTTTCCCCTAAAACATAATCATTAGTTATGTTTCTATTTGATAACCCCATATGGCTTGGGTCCACTGATATTTCTAGTTGATAATAATGAATCTTAACACCTGACGCCGACACTCTCTTCTGTGATGGAACGTTTTACATATACCAGACTCAGTTTCAGCAGATCCACACCAGGATTGGAGACCAGATGTACCCACTTGTATACAGTCTACTTCCCAGCAAGAGCCAGGCAACATACCATAGATTCTTTACACTACTCTAAGACCAAGATTCAACCTCCAACTCAATCCCCCCACCGTGTTCCTGGACTTTGAGGCTGCTGTCCAGAACACCATCCGCGCAGGGTTTCCAGCTGCGAGTTTGAAGGGCTGCTTCTTCCAATATACACAGTGTATTTGGAGAAAAGTCCAGCAGACCGGACTTCAACAACTCTACGCCAACAACGACAATGTCCGACAACGTGTACGGCGTGCCGCTGTACTACCCCTTGTTCCGTTAGACCATGTAGAAGATGTCTGGTTCAATGCGCTGGAGGAAATAGACGATGCTGATGTACCACAGGACACCACTCAATTTACACATTACGTTGTGACACAGTGGATTGACCGATATCAACAGCTCTGGAACCACTTTGAGACCGAGTAGAGGGACCCAGAACAACCAACCACATAGCGGGATGGCACAGAAACTGATGAAGACATGCCAACTCCAACATCTACAGTATCATCTGCGTCTCCCAGGAAATACAAGCCAGCAACGAGATAACGCGCATCCAACACGCAGCAGGAGGACAACTCAGACCAAGAGCAAAACGCTACCGTAACATCGACAGCCGCCTTAATCAACTAAAGGAACGCTTGGAGAATGGTACAACAGATATAATCCAGTACGCCGACACAGCATTCCATCTTTTGCATTTAGAGTGACATTGTTATAAATGTGCTTGTTATAGAATTTTTATTTGGTGCTTTGCTAGGATTTCTTATAATTATCGACTTATCTGTGTTTTTTATTGACTTTCCAATATTTCACCTTTAGTAAGTTAGTGCTATTATATTAGTTTTATATCATGTATCTTTGTGCATGTGTGTATTTTATGAATATGATTGATTTGATCAACCAGCGCTGAGTATTCCATGGGTACATGTAATTAATTTGTTTTATTTATTTTCATTCCCAGCTTTGCATCTGTTTTTGCATATTTAATAATGTAATACATGCTCTCTGTCTTTACTGATTATATTTGTCATAAATTGCTTGCTAAATTTAGTTCTATTTTATGAAATATTTATATAACATAAATGTAAATGTATAGTAAAAATGTATAAAATTGATTTAATATGACATTAATAAAAGCAGGTTCTCAGTTAATGTATTTTGATGGATTTTCATTGAGTAATAACTGGAATATTGTTAAAATATTTATTCATAATTCCAGTAAATATTACGAAAACCAGGAAAAATAATTTGTTAAATATTCCTATAACTAACACAGTATTTCCTATTGGTGAACAGGTAAATACAGGTAAATAATCTACCTGTACAATATCAGAACAGACTATAATGACACCTCTATTGTTTTCCAGTGTTTATATAATTCCTTTGATCAAAAAAAGTGGGAGAAAGGAGAACAAACCATAGATACATCTATCTGTATGAGTATAAATAGACATCAACACTCACGGTACAACAACAATAACCGGTTCATGTACTAGACAGAGTTTCCTCTGGCCCTGACACCAGGTAGACATTTTGACTGATAGATGTCTGGTGTGGGCCAGACAAACCAGACATCTATCTGCCAAAATGTCTACCTGGTAAGCCTGGAAAATGGGGCTAATACATGTACCATTATCAAATTATGTATGTCAACAGGTTTCACAGGTTAACTCACTGCTTTAGATACTATCATCAGAAGTTTCAAGTTGTATATTTTCAGTTGCATTGTACACAATCTATTTATGCATAAAATAATGAGAAAGTCTAAAAGCTGGTTACTTATTTTTAATATATTGACTGGCACATACGATAGTACGGTACGTTAAATCATAATATTGTAGTGTATCATAAAGATATATTTACTGGTACATAATGATATATTTACTGCTATATTCAGTATATTGTACATGTAGTACTAGCTACATTATCATTCATTTACTGATTCATGTAGTAATTAAATCATAAACTATTTACTGATACTGTGTAGTACTTACATTATAATTTATCTTCTGGTACATGTAGAAGTAACATTACAAAATTATTGCTGGTTTACATAGAATCTATTTCCTGGTAAATGTAATACTTATACAAATCTTTTTACTAGTACATGTAGAAGTAACATTATGATATATTCACTGGTGCATGTGGTAGTTGCATTGTAAACTATTTTCTGGTACAAGTATAGTTATGGTTAGTTACATTTTAAAATATTTACTGGTAATAGTTACAATAGAATCTATGTACAGGCATCCTCGATATCCAGGGGTCACGCTCACTTTCGCTCTCTACACTCCTGGAATATGTCATAGCAAAATTGAAAGCATGAAGATAGCTGTTTGATTGGTCTCGGGTAAAATAAACCGACCAATCGCTAGGCTGATACCTGTCCTTTACAAAGGAGAGACGCCCGACTTCAAAGCCTGTCAATTTTTACCGTTACGTGACCGCGAGAAGGATCAAACTAGTCTTCTTGTCACATCAACAAGGTGGCGCACACGAGCCTTCAATTTTGCCATGACATATTCCATGGGTGTAGTGAGCGAAAGTGAGAGTAACCCCTGGATAAGGATGATGTACAGGTAAATTAAGAAGTTATGATCTATTTACTGGTATATGTAGTACTCATTGTAATATGTTGTTACTGGCACAAGTCAGTAGTTAAACACTTACTGGACCTTAATACCTTCAATATTTATTAATAATGTAGTAGTTATCTTGTATCTATTTACTAGTGCATCAAGTTCTATATATATTTGTACATGTACCATGGTAGTTTTGCAGTAACAAATATTTTTTTGTCATGTAGTAGTTGATAATCTGTGTTCAGTAATATTAAAGTACTTCACATGTGATCGACATTTTAATATGATTGCAGAGTGTGGTATAAATGACAGACATTTATCCACTGTCAAGGATATGTTGCATTGCTCATGAATCTTCTTTACATCTAAAATATTCTCCATTCTTTAATTTAGCTTTAAATAACTGTATTTCACCAAATTTCCAATGAAACAGATATATATATATTATATTTGAATATTTCAGAATTCGTTAAAATGTTCTCAAAATGAAGAACCCTAGTAAAATTGACCTGATGAACTATAAATATAAGCATAACCTAATATTGTTTACTCTTTTTAAATAGTAGTGTTTTGAAAATATTACACATAGCCATTACTTTATGTTGGATCAATAATGCATTCATTTTCTTGTGTATACACCAAAGAAATGATGATTTTACTCTTTCTGAAGTCTTCCTGATAGGTAATGATAAATGTGATACTTACACAGGCTGGCCCATTTCTCCTGTTAATCTATCTACAAACATCTGTAGTAACCTACAACAAACAACACACATGTTTTATAAACCACAATCTTCAAAGCACAGTTTTAACACAAAAGATTTTCTGTATCACTTCTACTGGCTGGTGACCAATGCTCGGCAAGCAGCAATTCTTGCCATAGCACAGATCTTGGTCAAAAGGAATGCTGACTGGTATAAATGTTGCGGTAACAGAGACTTCTTAAGCTCGAGCTGGAAAAACGTATGTATTTCTGCCTCATTACATGTCCTGTTGTGTGAATGGGTATTTTGTGGGAGCTGGTCACCAACCTATTAAATCCAAAAGTATATGTTTACGGCAGAAACAAATTTGCAAACGGTCATTTTTTTTAGTCAAATAATGTATAAATTTAGAAGACTTACTTTGTTTGGTAAATTTTCCTACAAAGCAGTCTTGAATGTGCATTGATAGCTCTAACATATATTATACACACCCATGTATATGTTGCTGTTGTCTATTCACCGGACGTCGGTTGCCTGTCCGGACTGATATCCTAAATGGCCTTATCCTAGATGGACGAAGTCCATGAGGCTGTGGGTGATTCCTCTCCTCCTCTTCAGAATCGGAGTCTTCGGTTCGTTCTCTAGTGGGAGCTGTTGTACCAGTTACTTGGTTCTGAAAGCTGTCTAAAAATGCCCGTCCCCATAGCTGGAAAGAATTTAACAATTCTCCTTAAATTTTTTCCAATGATAAAACATTCACCGATGACAAAAATATTCATTCACTCTTTCAAACTCAAGACTCCTGAATTCTTTTATACATTTTGTTTTTTGATCCAGCTTAACCGGTCTTAACCAAACACCACTTCAACAAATATTTCTGTTAAAAATAAAATCTTTTCCAAAACACACAAATTCAATTTACATAGAAATGTAAACTGTGATAGCTAATTGAGGACTGATACCAAGGGATTAAATGCATGATTCTGGATTAAGCACGGTTCTGCACGGATCAGTTAAAGCAGGCTATACTGTAAATAACAAACCTCTGCAAACTGAGCGGCCGGGTCAACTGTTGGAGTCTCTGATGGAGTTTGTGCATCTCTCTCCTGAAACCCTCTATACAAGGGGAAAAAAACATCATATTACAAGTTAGGTATGATTGAAAGTTTATATGTGTCTAATGTCTACACAAAACAAGTCAAGCATTGAATGATCATTTCTTTCATTGTTGATGTGGTACCTTAAAATTCATGGATCCTCCTACTTTTCCATATTGGTATAGAAAAAGACCTTTTAACAATAAGAAATTAAAACTTGTTCAACATAATAGATTAACATGGTATAATTTCATTTATACATCTGCATATAATTTCAAAGTTTTAATCCTCTATTCATTTGGTACATTTTAAAGTTTTCACCATTTAAATCAATCGGTAACACAGTACACTAGACTAGTAACTTGTGTCCAAGGTTCAACTCTTCCCGGCACACTTTTTAAGATGTTGTCGACTATCTCATAACAGACTGACATAATTATTTTGTATTGCTGATAAAGTCAACCTAAATATTTATAAGATACAATATAATTACAATTTTGCAATGGACTATTGAAAAGTATGTCAACAAATTTTTAAATTCAAATTTTATTAGTTATTTGTTTGTACTTTACACAAAAGGATGCAGAACTAAGATCAAAGGGTACCACGACAGAATGGATTAAGGAGCTACTGACCAGCAAATGTCTAAAATTTGTAGTTCGAGGCCGCCTGTTGGCACATGGTGTTAAAACCTTGAGCAAAGTACCTTTATAGCTTCATCCAGTGACCCTTTATAGAGTATACCAGGTAATTATGTTTTTGGTTGGTTATTACTATTATCAGTGATCAGGATTGACAGGGAGGCTGAACCATACTATGTTTTCAACTATTTCAGTGGGTCGGTTCTTCAATTTTTTATAAAATGTGTCAATGTATACCTCTGAAACTTCAAATGAGATCTCCCTCATTCTACATTTCCATTGCGGGAGGAGGTCTGAAACTGTTTTGCTCAATAGATCTTTCCCTTTTTATGCATTAAAATAAATCCAAAAAGATTTCTTTTTATTCAGACGCACCTGTGATGACCATTTCACCCATCCTGCAGTTACTAGTAGTACATTTGACTATAGGATGTAGATTTCGAGTTTGTGTGAGTTTACACATAAATGAGCGAGTTTCGAGGGAGATTGGTAAATTTTGGTTTAAGTGCGGGTGGTTCCCTTCTAATGAGAGAGGGTTGACAGCTATGATAGTGTCAATGATTGTTGATTATACTCTGTAGTATACATGAAAATTGTGGAAGCATGGTCTCATAGCAAAAATAACATACACACCAAAACATTCTCCATCACATTCATAGTATGAATGAAAATGTCAAATACTCAGTTAAATGAGAGTGGACACTTATAATTGGATCTTATTTGTACTTTGAAATCATTTAAGTTACACACATCTAGTCTTTTTGTGTCCATTCCTTTAACATATATGTGTTGTTGTATTAAGTAGCTAGTATTAAGGATGAACTTTCTATTTACCTGGGAAGTTTAGCTTAAACTTAATAGAAAGTTAATCCTTATATTTATAGTTCTATCAAGGTTTTCCTTAAAACATGTTTTTTTTACCGGACTATATTCCGTGGATTCCATTCAAGCCCGATCTGCGATACGGTTACACTTTGCTGCAATTTTTCATTGGTTGAAATTGAAGTTGAAGGAGCAGCTTGTGAACTATGAATTTGTCAACATACCAGACTAAATTGAAGACAAAACCAACGCATTTGAGTTGGTAGCTTGTGTGTTAGCCCTGTCAATATCGGACTTACTTTGGTAATGTCAAAGTTCCACGAGGAACAATCCCCATGTTGCCGTCACTCATGTCAGCCGCAGGTGACCCAACAAAACAATTTACGTACTTGCTAACTTTTATTAAATGAGAAATTGCATCGTTTTCAATTTTACACATGGTTTTTATTTGGAGAGTTATCATTTGTTTACAAATCTTGTATCCTCAGTACTTCTGTTTACCTCTGATTATTTTTTTAAATAGCAATGGAAACTCCCAGGTTGTTGATGTACACATACAGTTATGTATCACTACACGAGAATGACTTTCATTATCGAGTGATAATGACGATGACCTCAACAAATTTTATTGAGTAAATTACGCTTGCAACTGTTAATATGTATGAATGTCGGTTATAAGGATTTTATTCAAATGTCACCATAACAACAAAAATTAACATCTGTCCTTTCTATTTGCACTAAAGCCTAACAACAATGCTACAGTGATAGTTGAAGTTAACTTACTCTGTAATTTCTTCTATAAATCCATTATCACATCTTGGGCAGGTATAGTCCTAAAAGAAAAGAAATATACATGACTCTTACCTATAATTATATCCACATCACTCATTCAGTACCTTTCTAGATGTTATTTCATGACAGTCCTGGATATTTTACTTACTATTATGAAACTTGAAATGATAAAACCGTTACTTAACCATATGTATCATTGACCCACCTTAATTCGAGAGGCAGATATCTATACATTAAACAAGTCAAGCGATACAAATATAGTAACTTATAGTAATACGTAGTTCTAAACAGCTATATGATGACTTTCCAGATAGTCTCCGGTCTATATTTAGCATGCCAGTGCGTCCATCTCGAAAATAGCTTCATTAGCAGTGCATGCATGGTTAGGTCAGTTTAACTTATTTCGATTGAAAGCAAAAGTTTAACATAAAAGCATTATCTCACTGGTTTAGGACTTATTTCTTGTGAGCAACTATGACAGTAAAATCTGTTTAAAGACGGTCTGTTTTCTACAGCAGCTTCCGCCATGTCTCGTTGCGAACTTCCGAGTGACGTCACTTAATCTTCATCACAAAAATGTTTTCCGATTGTCAGTAAGACGCTTAATGCGTAAAAGCTTTCGTTGAGCAACAGAATGTTCTAGAAAAAAAATCATGTTGCAGCATTGATCTGTAACTTTATAATCATCATAATTATTTTAAATTCTTTTATTTCTGATCAGCTCTTTTTCCCAATTTCAGAAAAAAAGTCACCAAAGAAATCAAACTAGGAAAGTAGCTTGGGTTTTCACCGCCTTAGTTGTATCTATATATAAATTGATATATAATATACTTGGCTTTATATGCCTGAAAATAAATCGAAAATAACATTGAGTACATCAGATATATAGGCTAACTATGACGAGCGAAGATTGTATAGCAAGAACCAATAGATGATATGGTCGAAACTATTCTTGTTGAAAATATTATTAGAAAATTCACCGTAAGACTAAGATAACAATCTAATCATGTGGTAAGTTTTAAGAGTAGTAAAAATGTTATTGAAAGAAAGGTTCTGTGCATATTGTACCGCTGTTGCTTTCGCTCAGACGAATTATCGCCATTCAAAGTTGGTATGAAGGGCTGATTTTAATTGGAACTATTTTAGTCCAAATTATTGAATGATATATATACCGACTTTTTCAACTCGCATTTGACAGGTAACAATTAACTCAGTCAATGGCTTAAAAGTTTATTGTAGTCTATGCTATTTTAACCGTATACCTATCACAGTCGGTTAAAAATCATAGTAGATCTAATAACGTCTTGGCCATTTTTAACGGTTCGATCAAAAACAAATACACGTGGAAAGCTAGATTTTTGCCTTCGTGACATCTTTTCGAGGTTTCTTTTTCAAGATGATATTTCAACTAGTCTACCGGACATGTGCTGTAATTAAAGTTTTACCTGATATCTCCAATCAGCCCAATTACAGACCTATCATCTTAACGTCTGTACCATCAAAAATTATGCAACGGCTCATAAGGGACGAAATCCTCACCCAAATGAATACTAATAATCTATTCACGCCGCATCGACATGGATTTATGCCAGGGAAATCGTGCTCCACACACACTAGTGACTACTAAATTCTGACTATCCTCGTAATATGGTAGTATAACCCAACCATGCTGACTATACTCGTACAATGCTGACTATAAACCAACAATGCTGACTTTTTACTGAAATTCACTTTAATTTACCACGGTTGGGTTATACTCAGCATTGTCGTTTAAAAGTCAGAACGGTTGGATTAAAGTCAGCACGGTCCGATAAAAGTCAGCACGGTCGGATTAAAGTCAGCATAAAGATTTTACCTGTGTTCATTGATCCGCGCGCGAGCTCCACACGGCCAGTGCTAGACAGCAGCAGGGGGTTTCACACCTCCTGTAGGCCGC